GAAGCAAATGAATTATTTTAAAAATGACTTTGTTGTGGGACCAGCAGATGGCATAATAGTTGTGTTGTTGGATCCCTATGTAGTTGACCATGGTTCGAGTCTGGACCTGGCAGCTTATAACTCATGCTGGGCGTATGTGCCCAAAATTCTGAGAGGGAGAATGGAGGAGAAAGGATTGTGGTATGGCCATCTCCCCAGGGATGGGGAGCAATTTCTCATTTTATGTCTCTGTCTCTCTGGTGAAAGCATGTGCCCTATACCAGAAATCACTCTTAAAAAATAATTTTGTTGAGATATAATTAATATGCCATACATTTCACCTATTAAAAGTTTACAATGCAATGACTTTTAATATCTTAACAGAGACTTGTGCACCTACCATCACTTTTGCCTTTTGTTTGCTCGTTTTTTTTAGATATCTGTCATAAAGTATGTGCTCTCACCAGGGAAAGGGAGAGACAGAGAGAGACAGAAAGTGAGACATCATCCCCTGGGGGTGGCCACGCCACAGTCATTTCTCCTCCATTCTCCCCTGCCAGGGTTTGGACACATACACACACATACCAGGTCTGGTACTCAAACTGCACAGTTGGTTATGTAAGATCTGCTTCTTAACCACCACACCACCTGCTGCCCACCACAATCAACTTTAAGACATTTTCATCATTCCTCAAAAACCTCATACCTGGGGACCAGCAGTTAGCGTAACGGCTATGTCGCTGAACTCCCATGTAGTCAACTGTGGTTCGAGTCCCAGACCTGGTTGCTTAAAGTCACACTGGGCGCATGTGAGTGCATGCCCAAGATCCGGAGGAGAATGGAGGAGAAGGGATTGTGGTGTGGCCATCCCCCCTGGGGGGCAATTTCTCGCTTTCTTTCTCTTTGTCTCTCTCTGTCTTTCTGGTTAGCGCATGTGCCCTGTAGCAAAAACCTCTCAAGGTCCCTGAACAAAAACACCCAAAAAAAAAAAAAAAAAAAAAAAAAAACCTCATACCTGTTAGCAGTCACTCTCCACTTCTCTCTAATTACTTCATCCTTTCTCCTAGCACTGGACAATCACTAACCTACTTTCTATTTTTTTATATTTGTCTATTCTGGGGATTTCATATACACTGAGTCATGTAATATGTGACCTTTTATGTCTGGGTTCTTTTACTTAGCATCATCTTTTTGGTATTCATCCATGTTGTAGCTATATCAGTACTTCATTCCTTGTTATGATGGAGTAACTTTTAATTGTATGTATATACCATATTTTGTTTAGCCATTTGTCAGTTGATGGACATTTGAGTTGTTTCTGCTTTCTGACTATCATGAATTATATTGCTCTGAGCTGTCAAATTATCGTTGGATGCATTTTTCATTTCTTTTGGATATGTATCTAGGAATGCAATTGCACAATCAGCCATGTAAGATCCAGCCACTTTAACCACTGTGCCGCCATCTGGCCTCATACACTAATTCTTATGTTTAACATTTGAGCAACTTCCAGACTATTTTCCAAAATACTTTATCATGTTGCATTCCAACCAACAGCAATAAGCCTTCGAGTTTCTCTACATCCTCACAAACAGTTGTTCTTACCTTTATTATTATTATTATTGCCATCCTAATGGGTATGAATTGGTATCGCATGGTTTTAGTAGCTTTTTACAGATTAAAGCACATGTTTTCATGTGCTTTTTGGTATTTTATAAGTATTTTATATATATTCTTTGGAACAATGTCTATTTAGATACTGTGGGCATTTTAAAACTGGGTTTAGGTCTTTTTTTATTATTGTTACAAGAATTCTTTATATATTCTAGGCACATATCCCTTACAGATACATAATTTGCCAATATTTTCTCCCATTCTGTGGGCTGTCTTTTCACTTTTGTGATAGTATCCTTTGAGTAGCAAAAGGATCTAGTTTTGACCAAATTCATATTATCTCTATTATCTCTTGTTTTTTCTTTTTTAAAATTTGTTTTGTTTTTGTTGTAGGGTGTGTGTAGTTACTGGAGAGAGAGAGCGAGACAATGAGAAGAAAAGTCAGAAATCATCCCCAGAGGGGATGGTCATGCCACAATCCTTTCTCTTCCATTTTCCTCTTGGGTTTTTGGGTACACTTGCACCTGGCATGATTTTCAATCTGCCTGTTCCAGGACTCACCACTCTTGGCAATGTGGGAACTCAGTGTCTTAAATACCACTTCACCTGCTGGCCCCTATCTTTTGTGTTTTAGTTTTATCCAAATCAGTCAGAAAGATTTACTTGTATATTTTCTTCTCTTTTTTAGTTTTAGTTTTTACATTTAACTTTTTGATCTATTTTGAGTTTAGTTTTTGTTTGTGGTGTGAGTAAGAAGCCTAACTTCATTCTTTGGCTTTTGGATATCCATTTCTCCCAGCTCTATTTGTCAAACTATTCTTTCTCCCGTTGAATTATTTTGACACCCTAATGAAAAAATCATTGACAGTAAATGTAATGGTTTATTTCTGGACTCTAAATCCTATTCCATTAATCTATATGTCTATTTAAGGGGAAGAAAAATAATTTTCTTTTCTACCCTCATAAGTCTTAGTTGAGACACTGTTCTAGAAAAAAAAAATCAGAAAACAAGAGAAAACCAGCAGGTTTATTCCAACACATGCTGGGCTCATATCCTAGAGAAGAGACCTCCACATAAAAGTATCTCTCAAAGCAGTGGTAGAAGTGACAGGACAAAGGACTAGGTAACCCCAGGTTCCAGTGGTGGGAAAACTGTAAGAAGGTAGTAAAACTTTATTTCCAAATTCCCCTGGGCCTGCTGCTGCTGCTGCCATCCAGGGCTGCTGAGTAAGCTGATTTCAGCAGGGAAGATTTATGTCCTGTACTTGCAGACAGGGCAGATGAGGAGACAGTCCCTCTGCACTTTAACTTTTCTCAGTTCAGCAATCCTAAGTACTTTAGGGAGAAATATTTTGGTTTCCTTTACTATCCTTATGCCAATACCACACTGTCTTAATTACTGTAGTACCTTTATTTCCATTCAGGATGTCTTTCATTACTTTTCTTATCCTGTTTCCTTCCTGGAACCTCCAGTACATTGACTAGAAATGGTGAAAGTGGATACCCTTGTCTTGTTCCTGAATTTTTGGGAAAAGGATTTAGCTGTGAGTTTTTTTAGATATCCTTTATAAAATTGGAGACGTTTCCTTCTAATCATAGTTTGTCAAATGCTTTTTGTCATGGAAGGATGTTGAGTTTAGGCCAATGATTTTTCTGTTGAGATGGTCATACAGTTTATTTTGTCCTTTGTCCTATAGAAGTGGTGTTTTATGAAAATTGATTCTTGGATATTAAGTCATTCTTACATTTGTGGGCTAAATCCTTCTGAGTGATAAAGTGTATAATCCCTTATGTTACTGGATTTGGTTTGTTAGTGTTTTTGTGGAGAATTTTTGTGTCTGTGTTCTTAAGAGATTTGAGTTAGTAATTTTCTTTCCTTGAAATGTTTTTATTATGATATTAGGATGTTTAAGAATGAGTTGTGAAGTGTTCCACCCTCTCTCTATTTTTTTTTTTTTTTGGAAAGTTTGTGAAAAGCTGGTTTTAATGTTTCTTTAATAGCTTAGTAACATTTGCCAGTAAAGCCATCTGGTTGTAGGCTTTTTTTGTGTTAGAAATTTCATTCACTTCACTTGTACAGATTTGTTCAGACTTTCTATTCCTACTTGAGTCAGTTTTGGTCATGTTTTTTAAAACATTTTGTTCATTTTACCTGGATAACCTAAGCTGTTTGCATATATTGATATTATTATTTTATAATCTTTAAAGATTTGTAATAAGGCTCCTTGAATTCTCGATTTAGTAATTTGAGTCTTTTCTCTTTTTTTCTTGGTAAGTGAAGCTAAAGGTTTATTGATTTTGTTGAGCTTTTCAAGACTCTGCTGTTGATTTCATTTATATTCTTATTGTTTTTCTATATTCTGGTTCTTTTTTTTTAATTGCCCACGTATATATGTGCTCAAGGGGCAGGGAGTGAAGGACAAAATTACCCTTCAATTGGGTGTGTTCATGCTGCAATCCCTTTCTCCTCCATTTCTCCATCCTGTTAGGATTGTGGGTACTCATACACATGCACTTGTCTTATATTTCAAGCAGCTTGGGCCAGCATTTGAAATGTGGTTGGCTCTTAAGCACTAGGCTATGGGGCTATCCCTCTATACTCTTTTCCTTTCTTCTGCTTGCCTTTAATTCACTTTCTCTATCTTTTATTTAATTTCAAGAGGGTATGCTCCCTTGCCAGAAAGAGGGAGAGGAATAAAGTACCCCCATGGTGGGGTGCATGGTCATGCCATAGTTTCTTCTCTTTTATCTTACCATTCTGTCAGGATTTGGGGCATGCATGCACATGTGCCTGGCATCTTTTTCAAGCCTCTGAGGCCAGGATTTAAATCATGGTCAGCCATGTGGGATCCTGCTCCCTTAACCACTAGCCCATATGGCCAGCCCTAGTTTGCTCTTTTTCATTCACTGTTTTAAGGTGGAATGATAGGTTATTGAGTTGAGGTTTTATTCTGTTTAATATAGGCATTTATAGCTATAAATTTCCTTCTGAGCATTGCTTTACCTGTACCCCATAAATTTTGAAATTTTGTCATTATATCATTAAGTACATTAGAAAATATTGTAAAATTTCCCTTTTGATTTCTTATTTGACCCAGTGGTTATTTAAAAGTGTATTATTTATTTTCCCCATATATGTAAATTTCTCAAATTTATTTCTGATAGTAGTTTCTAATTTTACTCCAATGTGATCAAAAAATATACTTTTTGTGATGTTAATCTTTCTATGTTTATTAAGGTTTGTTTTATAGCTTAGTATATGGTGTTCTCTGGAGGTTGTTTCATGTGCACTGAGAAAAATGTATGCTCTGCTTTCACTGAGTAGACCATTCTACAGATGTTTCTGTGGTCTAGCTGGTTAATAGTGTGAAATGCACTTTTGATGTCACTTTCTTTTTTTCCCCCAGCGGATGAATTAATCAGTCCTAAAGACATTGATCCTATCCAGCGCTATGTCCCACTACAGAATCAACGTAATGTGAGCATGAGGTTTTCCAATCAGGTAAAGAAATATTATATTTCTTAATTTAGACACTTCGAAGATACTTAAAGCTTAATTGAAGAGGAAATTTTATTCTGAGTGTGTTTCTGTTGCTCTTTTTGAGAGAAAGCCTTCTCCCTTTTCTGGTTAGTTAAGGATCACTTGTGGTAAAGGGCTTTTTGTTAATGAGAAAGTAGGAGGCAGATGTGTCCAACAAAGGGCCTTTCCGGTAAATATTTCCATCTTCAGAATGGATGAGTTTAAGGTGTCAAGTGTATTTGAGAAGATGCAGTGCATATGGTGGTAAGAGGACAGATGAGATAGCACTATTGTAAGGGTGTGGAGTCCCATGAAAGGCCCTGTGCTAGAAGTCTCTTTTGTGCTACGTCTCTATGACAGGACTGAGGGGCTGGCAGAGTTAGCACTTGGTGACATGTCTAGGGAAGGAATAGTTTTAAAGTTTTTACATTTAATAGCAATGGATTCAGACTGTGTTGTGTCAACAAAATAAGTGTTTGCAGGATCAGCAAGATTGCTGTTGACTTGAACAAACCCTCAAGTATTAAATGATACCAGTAATGAGGACTGTTAAAATGAAAATGTTGTGGATTGTAGAAACTGCCTGAGGAGAAAGGGAATGAACCTGAGTGTGTGCCTGGGATTCCAAGCAGTTCAGATGCATTTAATAAGAATGGCATCAGCACTTGTGAAAGATGTGCTTACAAATGGAAATATTCCTTTTATTGGGAAAAAAATATATATATAAGATACCTACATACACACCCATATGCACACCCACATCCCCCCCACACATGCATACAAGTAAATGCTTGTTTTATGACAAAAAGGGAGCACCACCAGCTGTTAGATCCTATTGCATTATTTCTCTGTTTTGCCAGTCTTCAACAAATCATATAATTACTCTGAGTGGTTTATAGATGAGAAACTATTTGAGAGACTTGTGAATAAATTATAAGATTTTAATCTTTATGTTTTGTATGTGATAGAAATTTCTTACTGGCCTGTTAGCTTCTATAAGATGTGGAATTTGGCCTATATCTGAGTTTCCACTGTGTCAGTACAGTGCAAGTGTATAATCTGTGCAGTTTGAGATATGCAATTTTACTTGAAGGAATGGTAAAATAATGAATACATCTAATTTCCCACTACCCAGTGGTATAAGTCTGAACTGTTTTAAGACTTGTGTGTATCATTTGCATAGCATTTCACATGCATGACCCACTTCTCTAAGGTGATGAAACCTCAAAACCTTTTTTAAGAAAATAAAGTACAAGGTCACCAATTTGAGAAATAGGGGCAGGTGCCAGAGAATAGCAAGGCATTTTATAAGAACATGGCTAGCAAGATCATTAAACAGTTATTTTATGCTTAACATGTAAGGAAGTCTGTGGGTTCGGTGTAATTTTGGCATATAATATACTTGCAACTCTTTCTCTCCCACTTGTGAAGGTTTATCAGAGTGCAAGTTAAGTGAGAGTTAATTTTATAAAAACTTCATTCTACATGTGGTTTTTTATGCAATTTTACTTGAAGGAATGGTAAAATAATGAATACATCTAATTTCCCACTACCCAGTGGTATAAGTCTGAACTGTTTTAAGACTTGTGTGTATCATTTGCATAGCATTTCACATGCATGACCCACTTCTCTAAGGTGATGAAACCTCAAAACCTTTTTTAAGAAAATAAAGTACAAGGTCACCAATTTGAGAAATAGGGGCAGGTGCCAGAGAATAGCAAGGCATTTTATAAGAACATGGCTAGCAAGATCATTAAACAGTTATTTTATGCTTAACATGTAAGGAAGTCTGTGGGTTCGGTGTAATTTTGGCATATAATATACTTGCAACTCTTTCTCTCCCACTTGTGAAGGTTTATCAGAGTGCAAGTTAAGTGAGAGTTAATTTTATAAAAACTTCATTCTACATGTGGTTTTTTTTTTTTTTATATTGAAATCATTTCCTAATGTTGCTATTAAATGACCTGTGGCTTGCCTCCCAGGTGGACCCATAGCCTAGCTAAGAGAGTGCTCTAAGATAAGGACTACGGTTCCTCTCCTGCAGCCATGTGGCCAATTACATCTGTGCAGTGTTGTGTACAGTTTCTGAGAGAGACATAATGAGGATTTGCAGCAGAAAGCTGCTGGGAGCTGACCTACCCCCAACCCATTGGCAGATTGGTTGTTGGGGTATATAAAATGATGAAATTTCAACATCATACCACATTTTTCAACCATTTCAAGCAGTGAAACTGTACCCATTTAAGATGGCAACTTTGATTGATAAATGTGTGACTGTCATACCAACCTTTGTCCCATCTCTCTTTCTTCTCTTATGCCTCCCTGTTCCCTGAGTTCTGTGATTTGAATCTGTCTCTCTCAGATTTTATGTGTTGAGATTTCATTGTGACTATATTAAGAGGGTAGCAGCCTAAACCAACTGTGGGATTAAATGATGGAGACTTCAGAGGGTAATTAGGATTAGACAGAGTCAAGGTGGGGCCCCCATGGTTGACTGCTCATAGCTTTATAAAAAGACCTACAGATACCAACACATACAAACTCTCACCATGTGATTCCCTGAACCACCTCAGGATCCTGAAGAGTTCCTTCCAACAAAAGGGTCTTTACCAGATGTGGCATCTTGACCTTGGACCTCCAAAACCATGAACTCAATAATTTACTATTCTTTATAAGTTGGCCAGATTCAGATGTTTGGTTATTAAACAACAGAATAGGAACTAAAACACCTAAAAATAACAATATTAAAATTAGGCCAGTTATTAACATACTGTCATGGTCTTTTAATTGTTCAAGTGAAAGGAAGCATCAGAAGCCTTTCTCTTTAAATCAGAAGCTGGAATTGACTAAGTATAATGAGGAAGGTGTGTTGAAAGCTGCAGTAGGCTAAATGATAGCCTCTTGAGCCAAATAGTTAGCCAAGTTATATATGAGAAGAAAAAGTTCTTGAAGGAAATTAGAAGTGCTACTCCAGTAAACACACAAATAATAAAGAATAGAGATTATTGCTGAGATGGGGAAAGTTTCAGTGGTCTGGATAAAAGATCAAACCAGTCATAACCTTCCCTACTCTGCTTGTGCTCTGTAAATACATTTATACATCTACCCTGCCTGTGCTCTATAAATGGAACAACAAAGCCTGGGTGACAGCACATCTATTTACAGCATGATTTACTGAATATTTTAAGCCTACTGCTGAGAACTACTGCTTGGGAAAAAATAGATTGCTTTCAAAATATTACTGCTCATTAACAACTCACCTGGTCACTCAAGAGCACCAATGGAAGTTTACAAGGAGATTAATGTTGTTTTTATGCTTGCTAATACAAGATCTATTTCATAGCCCAAGATTTAAGGAGTAGTTTTGACTTTCAAGTCTTATTATTTAAGAAATACATTTTATATGACTAACTGTCTTAGATCATAATTTCTCTGATGGATCTCTGAGAAGGAGTCACCTTTCATGATGCCATTAAGAATTGCTTTTTTGCAATGGGTTTGCTGCCAGAAAACAGGTGTCATGAAAAACACTGTTAAATCAAAGCTAAAATGGGAAAGGAGACGACTCATATCAACATCGTTATCATTGGACATGTAGATTCCAGTAAGTCCACCACTACTCGTCACCTGATCTACAAATGTGGTGGGATCGACAAAAGAACCATCAACAAATTTGAAAAGGAGGCTGCTGAGATGGGAAAGAGCTCCTTTAATTATGCCTGGGTCTTGGATAAAAAAGCTGAATGTGAGTGTGGTATCACCATTGATATCTCCCTGTGGAAATCTGAGACAAGCAAGTATTTTGTGACTATCGTTGATGCCCCAAGACACAGAGACTTTATCAAAAACATGATTACAGGCACATCTCTGACTGACTGTGCTGTCCTGACTGTTGCTGCTGGTATTGGTGAATTTGAAGCTTGTTACTCCAAGAATGGGCAGACCAGTGAATGGCCTTCTGGCTTACACAGTGGGTATGAAGTAACTAATTGTTGGTGTTAACAAAATGGATTCTACTGAGCCACCCTACAGTTAGAAAAGATACAAGGAAATTGTTAAAGAAGTCAGCATTTCCATTAAAAAAACATAGACTACAATCCTGACACAGTAGCATTTGTGCCAATTTCTGGTTGGATTGGTGACAGCATGTTGAAGCCAAATGCTAACATGCCATGATTCAAGGGATGGAAACTCACCTGTAAAGATGGCAATGCCAGTGAAACTATACTGCTTGAAGCTCTGTATTGCATCCTGCCACTAACTCATCCAACTGGCAAGCCCTTGTGTCTGCTGCTCAAAGTTGTGTACAAAATTGGTGGTATTGGCACTGTCCCTGTGGACTGAGTAGAGACTGGTGTGCTCAAACCTGGTATGTAGTCACCTTAGCACCAGTCAATGTGACAACTGAAGTAAAGTCTGTTGAAATGCACCATGAAGCTCTGAGTGAAGCTCTTCCTCTGGACAATGTGGGCTTCAGTGTCAAGAACATGTCTGTCAATGATGTTGGACATGGCAATGTTGTTAGTGACAGCAAAAATGATCCACCAATGGAAGGAGCTGGCTTCACTGCTCAGGTGATTATCCTGAACCATCAAGGCCAAATCAGTTCTGGCTATGCTCCGGTACTGGATTATCACACAGTTCACATTGCTTGCAAGTTTGCTGAGCTGAAAGAAAAAATTGATCACCTCTCTGGTAAAAAAGTTGGAAGATGGCCCTAAAATCTTGAAATCTGGTGATGCTGCCATTGCTGATATGGTTCTGGGCAAGCCCATGTGTGTTGAGAGCTTCTTTGACTGTCCTCCTCTGGGTCATTTTGCTGTTTGTGATTTGAGACAGACAGTTACAGTAGGTATCATCAAAGCCATGGGCGAGAAGGCTGCTGAAGCTGCTACGGTCACCAAGTCTGCCCAGAACGCTCAGAAAACTAAATGAATATTCCCCATTCCTGCCACCCCAGTCTTAATTTGTGATTTCATATA